GCCCAAGATGCACGTTAAGCCAGACGGAGACAAATCTGTCATATTTATGGAGAGCCAACAAGGTTTTCTACCTGCAAAGTGAAATATATCGTCACAGCTCAGCTCGAACACTGTGACAGAGCAGGGTGGCAGCACAAGCTGGCGGCAAAGAAAAGGACTTTATTTACAAAAAAAAGTCAAATAATGCAAAACCTGTAACTCTTGAGGTAAGCGCCACCCTTTAATCAGTTCTTTTCCTGAAAATGTTCTCTCAGAGCGATACAGATTCTCGGTTGTACCTGGTTCAGGAAATCTGAGGAAGAGGCTGCAAACACTGTACAAACACGCCATCAACACCACGAAGCACGGTGGTGGCAGCATCATGATGTGCAAATGACTTTTGGCAGCAGGTCCTGGAAGACCTATAAAGGTAGAAATGCAGCAAGACATATTTAAATCCTGGAGGACAACCTGATGCGGTTTGCAAAAGAACTGAGACTTGGAGAAGACTTGTTTTCCATCAAGACAATGATGAATAGATTGAGTAAAAATTCACCCAAATGCTGGAAATCAAGTGTTTGCAATGCAGTCCCAAGCCATAAAACTGCTAAAATTTGCTATAAATTTCCAGATGTTAGGCATGTCGCGTCCTAAACGCGTTGAGACGGTGATGGCCCAAGATGCACTTTAAGCCAGACGGAGACAAATCTGTCATATTTATGGAGAGCCAACAAGGTTTTCTACCTGCAAAGTGAAATATATCGTCACGGCCCAGCTCGAACACTGTGACAGAGCAGGGTGGCAACACAAGCTGGCGGCTAAGAAAAGGACTTTATTTACAAAAAAAAGTCAAACAGTGCAAAACCTGTAATGGTTCAGGTAAGCGGGGCTGCAAGGTGACTCGGTGGTTAGCATCGTTGCCTCGCAGCAAGAAGGTCACCGGTTTGCATCCCCGTGAGGGCACCCGAGATCTTTCTGTGTGGAGTCTCCATGTTCTCCCCGTGCAGCGTGGGTTCTCTCCGGGTTCTCCGGCTTCCTCCCACAGTCCAGAAACATGCTGAGGTTAATTGGTGATTGTAAATTGTCTGTAGGTGTGAATGTGAGTGTGCTTGGTTGTCTGTCTCTAAGTGTAGCCCTGTGATAGACTGGTTACCTGTCCAGGTGAACCTGCCTTCACCCTGAGTCAGCTGGGATAGACTCCAGCCCCCCATGACCCTGGTGAGGATTAAGGTGTAGAGATGATGGATGGATGGGTTCAGGTAAGCGCCATCCTTTGACCAGTTCTTTTCCGGACAATGTCCTCTCAGAGCGATACAGATTCATCGAACTGATGAAGCCTCTTGGATGAGAGGTGAAGTGTCTTCAAGAAGCTCAAGCAAGTCCAGCTGCTACGATTAAACTACGAGAATAACCGGGACCTGGATGACTGAGAATCTTCACAGACGTACAGACTCTCGGTTGTACCGGAAAGGGAGTATCCCATCTGAGGAAGAGGCTGCAGACTGATGGAGGTTTTTTAGGGTTCAGGTGTGGCTGTGTAACATTCAGAACCTGCAAAACACAAAACTAACTAGTGCCCAGAGGGGTGTACTAAGAAGCAAGGTTTATGGGTTAGCCATTTGATCAGAAACGCCGATATCCTAGTTTTCATGAATGCAACTACGGTCTCCGAGTGCACGTAGAAGCAGCTGCTATCATGGGAGGAGCCAATCGGTTGGGCGTCCTGTCAAAAAAACATTACAGAAAGAACAAAAAGACACCTCTTGTATGGTTTTAGTTGATGCAGACGCATAAACTCAAACATCAAAATGTTAACAGAAGCTGGAGGCTAGCTTGTTGCTCCCTGCTGTCTGTAGGAGTCTTTCCTCTGACTTTATCGAATACGAGGATACTTCAAAAAGTTCTCCAGAAGATGTCAAAACAGGAAGATTGATCTCGCCTTGTTTTTCAACACAGACTCCTTTAATATCAATGTGCTTGTTCCACAGAAGCTTCACTATCCAAACGCGAAGGAAGGACACGTCTTAAGCCTCCAGATGCCCCAATAGCAGTCCTGACAATGGCGACCACGAAAAGATGGAAGTCGGATGTTGCAGGTCCAACAAGGTTCATAAAGCAGCAGTTCAAAGAGACATTTTGCTGCTTGAGCTGTGTGGACGGACACATTGTCCCGGAGCCAGCTCGAAGAACATTTCAGTTTATGGGCGACAGTGATAAAAGGCTTTATGGTCTACAGTTACGCCCCTTGTTCCCGATTCAGACCAAGAACCTTTTGAAGCTGCAGCATCGAACAGCAGCAGGATCCATATGAGCATCTCCAAAGACGGACAGGAACACACGTTCTCGCACATGAAACAACAGCGATAACTTCATCATGTAACACCCCACTAGCATAAAGAACAACCATCAGGGGGAATAGGAAGGTACTTACAAATAAAATTAGTTTCACAGCTCCTATTCACCCCAAAGTCTGTTTCCAGTTTCCAAGATCCATTATCAGTTGTTAAACCGTCCACACAAGGGACGATCCCACTTCAAACCTTCAACATGTGATCTGTTTTCAGATTTCCTGCTATTTTCTCTTTTTCTTTTTATCGTTTTTCAAAGTTACAGCATCCCACTGTTTCTGGCAGCCTTGCACAGTTTCTTACGGTTTGAAAACGCTCTTTCTTGTTTCTCTCTCCGGGCCTTCTTCTCACCCACCATCGACGACTGGACCAGAACATTTAAAACTTTGATTTATCGCTTTATAGACTTATTTTCTATTGATCTTCACTCAAATGTCTGCAAGCATTTGCATTTTTCAGCCTTTTATCCGCCATTCCTCTCCCAAAAAAAGTGGTTTCTTGGCTGCTCCTCTTCCACAAACTGATCTCTGGACTGTAGAAGGATAAACCTGGCGATCAGATGAAGCTGCCAGATGCTGAGCAAGTTCTTTGCTGGACCTCTTCTGGTCTCACAAAGAAGAAGAAACGTCCCATCGGACAGTATTTCTCTCCTCCCTTTTTTTCCCTTGACCTCTCCACATTCTTCACATATCTCTTTTTAATAGCTTGAATCACATCTTGAGTATCTAAGTTGTTCACGCCTTTGAGAGTGGATTTACTGATGCAAAATCTGGCATCTTGAATAAAAGAATGTGATTGAGACTTTGTCTTGTACGTATATTAGCAAGCTTCCAGTGAGGTAACTCTTATAGGATGTGATACTCGGCACCAAAAAACATGGATGAACACCAAACATGGAATCGTACAACCATAAGAAACAGCAGCTCAAACACTCACTGAGAACTTTTTAAATGTTTTGAATCAAAGCTGGCGTAATACAGCTGAAGACAAGTGCGGAAAATCTAATGTCTGGACGAAAAAGTTCAAGACGTGCGAAGTGCAAAGGAAGGCGGGACTAAATATTAATATTTTTGTGTTCTTCAATAGTTGGCATGTATTTCTTGTATGTAATGGTTTTATCTGGATAGAACTGAGAAATAAATATGTATGGTGATAATAATCTTGCTAAAACATCAAACCTAATGGTAGCTAGACTTTAGCGTTGTGGGGTAAACTGGGATAAAATGCCATTATTGACCAATAAATACAGTCGGTTTCCATGTCAGGTCTTTCCATGGATGATCTTGCTAATCTTTAAATAGTTATCATTAGCTTGAACAAAAAATGACAAATACTTTTTCTGTGATATGTGAAACTCTAAGAGGAGGACTTTGATATTAGGCATTACCGTAATGTGTTTTTAGAAGGGCATCAATGATTTTAACACTGTAGCCTTGCTTATGTTAGATTTCTTGTGAATTATGTACAAAGACATTACGCAATACAATAAAACAATAGCTAACCGTAATAAAAAGAAAAAAAAGGACGTGTTTTATCTGTGTAAAAGACTAACTAGCTCACTTTATTTCAAGCTAATAACATTTTGCTATTTTAGCTTCCTCTAGCACCAGCCAGCTCGAATTCTTCATTAGTGTTGATTGGTGATTTTACATTATTTTTACTGTGACTTTAGTGTAATATGTATTTTTTTGTTCGTTATTCTGTTGTTGGGTTTGTTTGTTTGTTTGTTTGTTTGTTTTAAGAGAAAGTAGATGATCTTACAAAATAGAATAGAGTAGTTCTTTATTGTCACTGTGGAAGCAATGTTAAAAAGACAGTGAAATCCTCTTTGGTAGCAGTACACAAGTAAAAAGAAAAAATAATAATGTGCAAGGAAAGATAAATATATAAAGTGTAAAATATCAAATATCAAAGCAAGGACTATGAAGGAAAGGAGGCATTTACAGCAGTATTTACATCTGCTTTAGTGAGTCTGGAGTCAGTTTGTCACAAACATCTAACATTTGGAGATGCTCCGTTTTTTATTATACAGAAGTTTGTATTTGAGTAAATGTACTTCAGCTACTTTCCTCCAATTAAACCAACGACATGGATGTTTCAGTCGGACCTTTTACGGTGTGACACTCGGCAGCGGCACAGACCAGGAAGTGCTAGCAGCGTTAGCAGCGTTAGCTCGGTGCAGCGGGCGGCTGTGTTGTCGTGTCGCAGGTAAATGCTGCGCTAGTCGGAGGAGGAACCATGTCTTCGGTCCATCGGGGGACCAGCGGGCGGCTCGCTGCGGCGTTTGAGGACGTTTTCACGGCGTTTGAGGACGCGGCGGTCCGGCAGGAGGAGGAGGAGGAGGTTGAGCGTCAGCGCAGACTGCTGGATGTCACCTGGCAGCCCGAAATAAAGCTGCACAGAGTCGGTGAGCAACACTGGGAGAGTCTCAGGGAGGAGAAGCAGCTCACATCTGGGACATCTGGAGGGCTTTAGGGGGAAAATCTGGTGGTTTTATAGAAATAACACGAGTGCATCTCAGTTAGCATGAAGCACATAGTTTGTATAAGTCACAGGTGAAACTGACATAACAACTAGATTGGGTACAAATTAAATGTCAGTAAGAGGAAACTGCTGGATTCATGCATCCATTGTAATGAGCAGCCTGTGAACCTCCTTGTCAGTAATTCCTGATCTCTGCTGAGCACAGCTGGTTGGTGCAAATCAAAGCACCTCCAAAGACTATTTTAATGAAGAATTAAAAAGGTGTGAATGAATCCATTTGTATTTGTTTTCCTGGTTCCAGCACAGTCGCCACACTTACATTATGGACGGTCCGCTCCGTGCACATAAACTACTGTGACGTTCAGCACTGACTAAAGGACGATTCATGCTTTCCATGTTGGTTGTATATTTCCTGTTAGACATCCACGTCCAAAGACTCAAGTTTGTGTTTGTGTGGCGGCTGTGCTACAAGAGCAGTAGAGTACATGCACAGAATATGTAGATAAAACCTCCTGCTCATGTATATGGTCCTCTATGGGGTCTAGGAAGTAGTATAATAACAACAATTATGAGTTTGTGGTGTCTGCAGTCGTCTGTGTGGACTTCTGTACGGCCGTGTGATCAGGGCTTAGTGGACAGATAGTGGTGTAGAATTTTGGAACTAGTTCTTGATGCCTACCTCAATCTTTGGTGCTCTGAGCTTGACTTAGAACCCAAGTCACCCCTTTGGACACTAATCATTTATTGTACTTGAAGTTTAAGTCGTGACTGTTTGCACGTTTGCCCCGCCAATGGTTTTATATTTTTCTCGTGTCTCTCCAGACCTCCGGCAACAACATGACCACGAAGCAGAGGAGGTTCTTGATAACCAGGACCGAAACCCAACAGAACCACAACAGTTTAAAGAGGAACTGGAGGAACCAGAGCCTTCACAGATTAAAGAGGAGCTGGAGGAACCGGAGCTTCTACAGGTTAAAGTGGAACAGGAGGAACTCTGCATCGGTGTGGATGAGGATGAACAAAAGCCTCCGCGGATTAAAGAGGAGCAGGAGGAACTCTACCAGGGTCTGGACCAGGAAGAACTAGAGTCTCCACAGATTAAAGAGGAACAGGAGGAAGCGTACACTGTTCTGGATCAGGAGGAGCTGAAGTCTGGAGAGATTAAAGAGGAACAGGACGATCTCTGGACGAGTCCAATAGTGCACATTTCAGAGAGTGAATGTGACACTGACACAGGTGAAAACTCTGTAAAATGTGACACTGATGGAAAACCACTGAAGTCCAAGTCTCAAATGAAGGAACGTCACGGGACCCACGCAGGTGAGAAACCATATTCCTGCAACAAGTGTGGCAGAACTTTCAATTTTTGTGCTCCCTTCAAAATCCACATGAGAATCCACACAGGCGAGAGGCCGTATTCCTGCAAAACCTGCGGGAAAGCTTTCACAAGGAGCGACAAGTTGCTGTGCCACATGAGAACCCACACAGGTGAGAAGCCGTACCTTTGTAACACCTGTGGGAAAAGGTTCACCGACCAGTCAGCATGTAAGCGGCACACGGCGATCCACACGGGGGAGAAACCTCACATCTGTAACATCTGCGGGCGTAGATTTGTCGAAAAATCCGATTTGAACATCCACCTGACGACTCACGTAGGTGAGAAGCAGCATTCTTGCGAAACATGTGGTAAGAGTTTCAGACATATCAACAAGTTGCTGTGCCACATGAGGATCCACACGGGCGAGAAGCCGTTCCTCTGCAACACCTGCGGGAAAAGATTCACCGACCCGTCAGGCTTCAAAAAGCACACGGCGATCCACACGGGTGAGAAGCTGCACTCGTGCGAAACGTGCGGCAAAAGTTTCCGACACACCTCCACGCTGGTTTGCCACAAGAGAACCCACACAGGTGAGAGGCCTTTCCTCTGCAACACCTGCGGCAACAGATTTATCAGCAATTCCAATTTGAAAAGTCACATGAGGACTCACACGGGGGAGAAGCCGTACTCCTGTCAAACGTGTGGCAAAGATTTCACCCAAAGCACCACGTTGAAGCAGCACATGAGGAGTCACACGGGTGAGAATTCAGAGACCTGAAAAAAAAAACTAGAAGGAAAGCCAAAAAAAACACGTAAGAATGAGTGCAGGTTTAAAGACGAGCTTTCAGATTTAAAGCACCGTCAGCCTGTGCTTCAGTGACGTGAGTTTATTGCACGTTTAGACAATTGCAGAAGCTCATTGCATTTTCTTTTTCCTAACAAAATAATTTGGGAACTGTGATGTCAGAATCCTCACTTGGGTGAACAGTTATAAACGAACACAAAAACTGTTTGGTTACCACGGATCCAGTGAGTTGCATGAGCTCTGTATTTTTTATTTAATTTGGATAAATTAAGTACAGCTGGATGTACTGATGGTAAATTATCGAACTCTGAGGCTGAAGAAACCTCACAGAGCTCATACTCTGTTTGTTTTTGTCCCCTTTTCTTATGCGGCTGCTATTTAGTGCATGTGGAAGGTCTGTAAACTTCAAAGTCCAAGTCAAAGGGACTGATTTCCTCTTATTAGACGATTTTCTAATAATAACAAGATCTGCACTTATGAGAACTTTTCTCCTAACGAGGAGACGGTCCGTCCTGTTTCCATGACAGCTTTCTTTTTCTGTCGTTCTTGTGATTTCTGGAGCTAAACCTGGGTTTAAAACTTAAGGTTGATTAATTATTTATATGTTTATGAACTATTAAAAATGTTTTTTTTAATATATTGACCTGATTCCAGGCGCCCCGACTGTTCATTATGTTACGTGTTGAATCCTTTTTGGATTCAAGGACCAAATCTATCGACCAAGTCATCGCTGTACCACTTTTGTTTTAAGGCGGTCCAACCTGCTGCCAGTGCCTCCTTGATTATGTGAAGTGCAATTTGGGATGATTTTCACCCACTTTTCCGTTGGTTTCGTCCTCATCAAAGAGCTTAAAAGACAGATGTTGTGTTTGTGACAGGACCCCGGTTATATCATAAACTGTACATTGTGCTGCAATGCATACGCAGAATAAAGTAATGCATGACCCCAACACTGGTAACGCGGTGTTTCTAAGCTCCATATGTGGTTCCTGTTAGAAATGTGAAACGTATGTCGGTACCCTGCGACGATAAAACACTAAAGACTGACTGACTGAATGAGTTTCTTTGTTTTTACTGTGAAAGCTGTTTGTTTTTTTCAGGTGTGTCTTTAAGACTCTGGAAGGAAAACCCACTGTCTTCATAAGCAATGTACAATAAAGGTGTTATGACTGAGCTGTCAGCGCGTCGTGTGTCCTCAGTGTGTGGAAGTTGTACTCAGATCCAGTTCAGTGCAGTTTTAGCGCCAGTTCACAACACGTCACCTCAGAGCACTTCACATAGTAAAGTAAAGACGTTACGAGTTTAAAACAGAGAACCCAACAGTCCAAAGGTGCTTTGGATTCATTATGAGCAAGCAAGAGGAAACAAAACACCTCCAACAGAACCGGGCTCAGGGACGGCGGCCATCTGCCTCGACTGGGCTCAAAGTGGTGATGGAGGACAGCAGGATCCTTTATTTAGATCCTCTGCTTGTAAAAGCACTGATACCGCCGTGGAAAGGCTCCACAAGCAATTCACAGCCGTATTTAAAAAATGTATTTCAAGCAAAGTATCAAAAGTTGAAACACTAAATCACTACCTAAGTGTCCCTGCCAGTGTTTCATAGTTACACAGCCTGTGTGATATCACATAGATGTCAAATGATTGAACATTTCATGGTAATATAACACCTACATTACTTCCACGTCTCACTGCAGAGTATTTTCTTACACGAACAATCAAAACCAAGTCCTTTAGAAAGACTGTTTTGGAAATTCAGGCCCCACTGAAGGAACAAAAGTCAATACTGAGATTCAAATATTTATTTTTTTAAATATTTCATGTGCCGGCCTTTATATTTGATGACCGACTCAGTCCTGCTCACAGAGAGGAGACCAAATTATTGCAGACATGTTCTGCCATTCTTCAGACACTCTTTTTTTTTCTTTGCTGGAGGCGTTGAGATGCTGAATACCCCAAAGATGTTCTGTTTTATGAAAGTCAGACGACACATTTATCCGTAGTGGTTGCAGTTTTCACTTCTTTCTTCTTCATGATGGTTCTAATGATGGATTGTTCTCTTTTATCGTCTCTTTTTAGTCAGTATTATCCACAGATATTTGTGGTTCCATCTATAAATATCACCTCCCCAACACCTGTTGCCCTCATGCACCCCCACATCATAATGCTGCCACCTCCGTGCTTCACTGTCAGGACCATGCATCCTGGTCAGGTTCACACCAAACATCTGGACTACATCTGAGCCCAACACATGTATTTATGTTTCATCTGTCCCCCAGAATTAATTAGGCTTCTTTTAATGTTATTTAGCAAAGTTTGCAGTTTAGTGCTGAAGAGCAAGCAGCTTTTCTTGGACACCATCAATGAAGGTTGGTGTCATGAACTGTCATTCACAATGTCTGAGCTGTCAGAGAAGCTCTGATTTCCAAAGGCCACCCCTGTGCCAAGTATAGAGCACTTGTCCATCTGATTGTACAGAGCTACATTGTGCGAGGAGTGAACTTTACGTAGTGTCGCTTTAGGAGGACGTCCACTTCACCCTGATCAGTGCTACTGTGGCTCCTTCAGTACCTCCTGATTACTGCTGAAACTGGCTTTCAGTTCATCTTCCTGCATCATTTTACAACTTTGTGAAGTGTCACAGTCAGATTTTTTTATTCTTCTGCCAGGTCTTTTGCATGTGGAGCCATGACATAGACATAGATACAGCCCATAGGTCCTAAACTGACAAAGTTGTTCTGTTCACAACTCATTTCATAACCATGTTCATGCAGTTAGATGACTAGAAATCACAGGTGTCCTCAGCTTAGTTTCAGTGATAATTTATAAAGTGTGCGTCGGAGGTTTATTCATTTTTGTTGCGTTTAGTTTCTACTTTTGGGTCTAAATTTTCAATATAATCTTCCTAAAGCATTTGTTTTTGATTGTTTATAAGAGCAAATACTTTACTGTTCATCTTATAAATAATTAAACTGTTAGAAGTTGATAAATTAGACATAATTTAATATTTAAGTTATAATATATTCACTGCTGTGTCCCATTAGAGACGTGTTTTAATACGTCCTTGGCGTTTATTGAAGTTGTGTCGATTAGTCCCGCCCATACACGAGTCTGAACCAATAAAATCGTCGCTTACACACATAGCTCGTATTTGAGCCAATCACATCGCGGTAGGCGGGATTGACTGTAGTTCTAACCAATCAAATCAACGTTTAGCTCCGGCACTGTGACACCCGACAGCAGAGACCAGGAAGTGCTAGCAGCGTTAGCAGCGTTAGCTCGGTGCAGCGGGCGGCTGTGTTGTCGTGTCGCAGGTAAATGCTGC